CTACGGGTGACGTCATGGACACTACGTCCATGTTTTTATACAGTCTATGGTTCTTACACTATCAGCAGTCTAGATGAATCTTTGTAGTGAACTTGTTACATGTCTGTATTGAACCGGACCTGTTTTATCCACAGAGCCCTGACTTGGACAGCTTCAAAGAGAAGTCTCCAGACTCTTTGTCCAGTGGGATCCATCTAACAGTTGCCTCCAGTGACACCATGTCCATGTCCCCAGAGACAGAGCTGGCTGTGCCCACAGGACTGAATCCCCCCGGAGAGCCTCATCTACAGCCCCCCGGACTGCTGTGTAGAAGCCTATGCTTCCCTTCGCTCCCGGACAGTCTGGAGAGTCCGAGCACACTGGAGGGATCACCAGAAATCCAGAGGCACCTGTCCGATCCAGTCTTACCTGGAAGCTAGAGGCCAAAAACAGACTACTGTCCATTCCGAGACGCATATGTGCTTTCCCTTTTCAAACAGCTCAATATTTCACTTTTGCAATAAAATGTATTCATGCTACTTAGTTAAAAGATTTTCTAATGATATACTATTATAAATATATATATTTTTGTGTCAGGTTAGGTGTTTGACCCAAATCTAATGTATTAGCCTATTACATCAAATGACGTTATGACTGGCACAAATATGAAGCTTTGTATATTTGGATTCAGTTACCAAATAGGCATGAATTCAGGGTTATGAAATGATATTTCTCACTCAAGTGGTTATTTTAACTGCTGATGGGTGGTGTGACTGTGTGTGTTAAGATGTGGGATCTTTTGGAAATGTGATCATTGAATTTCAAAGAGAAGACTACTCAATCTTGACGTTCTGATTGGAGAAACGTTTTGCAATGAAATCAGTGTAAAGTTTGTTTTACTTCTGCAACGTAAGCAGATGAATGTATGGAAAATGATTGGAAACCTTTATTGGACTGTGAAGGTTTCCAAAAGCACACACGTATTATTTTTTAGATTAAATGTTATTTATAAAGAAGTGCTAATGTTGCACTGTGTTTAAGATATCAATATTCTTGGTCTCTTTTTCATCATTTTTTACTTTTAGGGATCCACTGATATTAAAATGCTCAACACTAACAAGCTAATAATTATTTTAATGTTATAAGCAGTGTTATTTTAGTATTTTTATATACTATTATAGTATTTTTCAGTGCTAGCATCTCTGGTTATAAATAATAATTAGCTAATATTAAAATCTGTAGTATAAAAATGGCTATTCATTTAGAAATTTGCAAAATTGTACATTTAAGTGTTCATAAAAATAAACTTAGTGAGCATTATTAGATGGCAAATTTAATCAGAACACAGAAATAAAGGAAATGAGCATGCAGAATTAAATATCCAATATCTAACCAATAAAATAATCTCTAATATAATCAGCCAATAACAAGTTTTGCCTTGATACATTGTACACCCATAAAAATGAGTTGGCTGACCTTTACATGATTAATTAACAGAAAGCTTTATGAAAGAACAAGAGTTTATTAAGTGAGTTTATTAATAGAAAAGCATCATGGCTGGACACACACAGAACTACTTACATTTAAACACTCCATCTAAGAGTGTGAGGTGAGGATGAGGATCCCACACAGCCTCGCAGATTCACTTTTGATTCGACCGAGAAGTGTGGTGTTACTACTACATCATATTTGTGTAACAACAGAACAGTTTCATGGACCGACCAAATGACTCGCAATGCAAAGTTATTCTGCAAAAGTGACACTTTTGTCCTACCTTGTACATAATAATTATATATGTATACAGTACACATTTCACTTCGAGCACAAGCATGCTGAAAGGGGATTAACTTTTTTTTAATGAAAAAGAACATGGGGAAAAATATAACAGGAACTTTCAGTAATGCATCTTTAAATGGAAAAGACATTGCCCACTCAAACATTGACTTCAACAGCGCAACTAACCGCTTTGTGAATCGTGAGCGTGTCTGAGGAACAATTATGAATGTTTTGCAGTGACATCAAGCATTTTATCTCCATACTATTCTGTATTTAACAATTTCCAGGGATACAAAAAAAATGGCACCTTCCTGAAATGGAAAAAAAAAATAAAAACAGGATCTGAAGTTCAGAGGACCTTTAAAATTGTGTTAATCTTTGAAGTAAGTAATTACATCTTAATAAAATGGTAAGTAAGTAAAAACATCTTTCTGATCCTAGTTTTCAAAAATGTTTTTTACCGGTTAAAGATAGTTTAAGATCCCATTATGAGGACTCTGGGACACCGGCAAGTAGGAAAACAGACAAATATGATATATTGTGCAGAAACACAGATACTCATTCACACGGCTTCATTCTCCCAGACAAAAGTTGCACACACATTGTTCAGACTGTTATTCCCATAGGCCCGTTCATACAGTTTCCCGCTTGAAACCCCCAGACCTCAGGAACTTTAGAAAACAAGTCTCTGCTCCATGAAAGACTCTCTTCCAGCAATGCTGCCCGCAGGAAGCACAGAGGCGCTTTAAGCCTCGGCTCTACACCCGCAGGATCTCCAGACAGTTGTTGTAGCAAATGGCAATCCAGTCGGGCTGAGTGGAGGCCCACTGCACATTATTGATCTCTCCCTCGGCCGTGTAAGCCAGGATGGGGTCCTCGATGGCCCGCGGCATCTGCTGGATGTCCCAGATCAGAGCCTGGTGATCGTCCGCTACAGTGGGATTTAAAAGAAAAGGGGGCCAAGTAAAGAAGACTTGTATGAAACAGCACTGTCACTGCTGCTATAGTCTAATACTGACCAAACGAAAACAGAACTCACACAACCGGTCCATTTAAGAATTCAAAACTATTGGATGTGTAAACAATTTAATGCATGTTTACGTGTAAGTTAATGTTTGATTTGAATAATATATTAGTAAATGCTCAAATGAATATGTGACCCTGGACCACAAAACCAGTCATAAGTAGCACAGGTATACTGTATTTGCAGCAATAGCCAAAAATACATTGTATGGGACAAAATTATCGATTGTTCTTTTATGCCAAAAATCATTAAGATATTAAGTAAAGATCATGTTCCATGAAGATATTTTTTAAATGTCCAAGTGTAAATATCAAAACTTAATTTCTGATTAGTAATATGCATTGCGAAGGACTTTTTGGACAACTTTAAAGGCGATTTTCTCAAAATTTTGATTTTTTTTTTTGCCAAATATTGTTCTATCCTAACAAACCATACATCAATGGAAAGCTGATTTATTCAGCTTTCAGATTATGTATAAATAATCTGAAAAATTGACCCTTAGGACTGGTTTTGTGGTCCAGGGTCACATATTTACTAAAATTAAAAAATGCCCTTTTTTTTTTTTTAAGTATTTTTTTAGTTGGCTCATGTAACCTATTATAGTTACATAATGTTAACAAATAGAAAAGTTTCACATGCATTCTTGCTAAATAAAAGTATTGATTTCCCTGAAAATCTATTTTGACCCCACATATATACAGTGGGTACGGAAAGTATTCAGACCCCCTTCAATTTTTCACTCTTTGTTATATTGCAGCCATTTGCTAAAATCATTTAAGTTAATTTTTTTTCCTCATTAATGTACACACAGCACCCCATATTGACAGAAAAACACAGAATTGTTGACATTTTTGCAGATTTATTAAAAAAGAAAAACTGAAATATCACATGGTCCTAAGTATTCAGACCCTTTGCTGTGACACTCATATATTTAACTCAGGTGCTGTCCATTTCTTCTGATCATCCTTGAGATGGTTCTACACCTTCATTTGAGTCCAGCTGTGTTTGATTATACTGATTGGACTTGATTAGGAAAGCCACACACCTGTCTATATAAGACCTTACAGCTCACAGTGCATGTCAGAGCAAATGAGAATCATGAGGTCAAAGGAACTGCCTGAAGAGCTCAGAGACAGAATTATATATATACTGTGTGTTTGTGTGTGTGTATATGTGTATGTGTGTGTATGTATGTGTATATATATATATATATATATATATAT